AAATGTTTCTAATTTTTGTCTGTTTAGGAGTATGCTAGCTGTGGGTTTCTTGTAGATGGCTTTTACCATTTTGAGGTATGTTCCATGTATGCCTAGATGTTCGAGGGTTTTTATCAAGAAGCAGTGTTGGATTTTATCAAAAGCTTTTTCTGCATCTAATGATATAATCATGTGGTTTTTATTCTGATATCTGTTGATGTATTTAATTACATTTATTGTCTTGCGAATGTTGAACCAACCTTGCATCCCAGGGATGAAGCCTACTTGGTCATGATGGATGATTTTTGAGATGTATTGTTGAATCTAGTTTGCCAGAATCTTGTTGAGGATTTTAGCATCTATGTTCATCAAAGATATTGGCCTGTAGTTCTGTTTCTTTGTTGGTTCTTTACCTGGCTTGGGTATCAATGTGATGTTAGCTTCATAAAATGATTTGGGGAGAGTTCCATCTTTCTCAATCGCCTGGAATACATTCAGTAGAATTGGTATCAACTCCTCCTTAAATGTCTTATAGAATTCTGCTGGAAAGCCATCTGGTCTGGGGCTTTTTTTTTTTTTTTTTTGTAGGTAGTTTTCTTATTATGTAGTCAATTTCCTTGATTGTTATTGGTCTATTTAGGGTCTCAATTTCTTCTTGTTCCAACCTAGGTGGGTTGTGTGATGTCAGAAAGTCCTCCATTTCCTTAAGGTTTTCAAGTTTGTTTCCATACAGGTGTCCACAGTAGTCTCTAATGATCCTTTGTATTTCTTCAGGGTCAGATGTGACTTCATCTTTAGTGTTTCTGATTGTGTTTATTTTGGCTTTTTCTCTTTTTTTCTTGGTCAGTCTAGCTAGGGGACCATCGATCTTGTTTATCCTTTCAAAGAACCAGCTTTTTGTTTCATTGATTTTTTTGTATTATCTTTTTGTCTTCTATGTCTCGGATTTGGGCTTTTATTTTGGTGATCTGGATTCTTCTCCTGAAGTTAGGATTTTGTTGATCTTACTTTTCCAGCTTCCTTAGGTGACTTGTTAGGCTGTTAATTTGTGATCCTTCCATTTTCTTTACATGTGTTTGTAGAGATATGAGTTCCCCTCTTACTACAGTTTTCATGGCATCCCAGAGATTTTGGTAAGATGTTTCTTCATTTTCGTTTGTTTCCAGGTATCTTTTAATCTCTGTTTTGATTTCATCATTGACCCAGGAGTTGTCATTGACCCAGGAGCATCATGCTGTTTAGTGTCCATATCTTTGTTGGTTTTGGGGGAACCTTGTTGGTGTTGATGTTTATTTTTATTCCACTGTGGTCCGAGAAGGTGCATGGCAAAATTTCGATATTTTTAAATTTGCTTATGCTTGATTTATGGCCAAGTATGTGGTCAATCTTAGAGTACATTCCATGTGGTGATGAGTAGAATGCATATTCTGTGGTCATTGGATGAAGTGTTCTGTAGGTATCAATTAAGTCAATTTGGTCAAGAGTCATATTGAGGTTCTGGATCTCGTTGCTGGTTTTTTTTTCCTGATAATCTGTCTAGGTTGTGAGTAGGGTATTAAAGTCCCCAGCTAAGACAGTGTTGGAGTCAATATCTTTTTTCAGTTTACCTAGAAGCAGCTTTATGAAAGTTGGCGCTCCTATGCTGGGTGGATATATGTTTAAAATGAATATTTCTTGTTGATGGATTGACCCTTTTATCATTATGTAGTGGCCTTCTGTGTCTTTTTAAATTTTTGATAACTTAAAGGGTATTTTGTCTGAGATGAAGATCATGACTCCTCCTTTCTTTCATGTTCTGTTTGCCTGAAAATTTGTTTCTCATCCTCTTACTTTGAGCCTGTGAGTGTCCTTTCTAGTGAGGTGAGTCTCTTGATGGAATAAATTGCTGCCTGGTGATATTTTATCCATTTTGCCATTCTATGTCTTTTCAGTGGTGCATTTAGTCCATTCACATTTAGGCTAATTATTGAAATGTGAGAGTTGATCCCTATCATAAGGTTCTTACAGAGTTGTTGTTGTTGTTCCTGTTTGTTTGTTGTCTTTCTTTTGGTTATGGAGTTGATTCATGTGTGTTTTTAATCTTTTGCCTGCACTCTTGTGAAGAACATTGTTGCTCTTTTTTCCTTTCCCTCTATGTTGAGTACTTTCTTACGTGTTTCTTGTAGAGGTGGTCTGGTGGCAGTGTAGGTTCTTAGGGATTAATATCTGGGAAAGATTTCAATTCTCCCTCACTGATGAAGCTTAGCTTGGCTGGGTAGGTTATTCTTGGTTGAAATTGTTTGTCTTTTAGAACTTTGAAGATAGGGCTCCAAGCTCTCCTAGCCTGGAGGGTTTCTATAGATAAATCTGCTGCTATTCTAATTGGTCTTCCCTGGCAGGTAGTCTGACCTTTTTCTCTTGCTGCCTTTAGCATTTTCTTCTTTTACAGCTACTTTGTTTAGGCAAATTATTATGTGTCTGGGAGTTGATCTTTTCATTTGTTGCCTTGCAGGGGTTCTCTGAATCTCTTGTGTTTGAGTTTTTGCATCACTGATGAGATGAGGGAAGTTTTCTTGAATGATTTCATGAAATGTTTGTTCCAGTGTGGCCTCTGTTTCTCTCTCTGCCTCAGGAAGGCTAATTATTCTTAGGTTTTTTTCTCTTGAAGTAATCATTCATCTCTTGAATGTTTTGTTCTGCCTTTTTTAAGTTTCTTTTCTATGTTTTTGACAGTTTGGGTTAGTTCTGTGTTTTGGTCTTCAAGCTCAGAAATTCTTTCTTCTGCTTGGCTAATTCTGCTTTCCATGCTTATTAGTTTGTTACTTATTTCCATCACAGTATTTTTTACTGCTGTATTTCTGTCATCAGCTCCTTCCTATTTTCTTCTTGTCTCTCCTTAATTTTTTTAATTCTCTCTCTTAATGTCTTGATGTCTGGGTTTGTTGCATGTGACCAGTCCTTCTGGGGGCTCTTCATTGTTTGTGTTCCAAAGTCTTTTTTTCTCAGTGTCTGACCTCCCAGGGGTCTGTGTGAAACCTATATTCATCCTTGGTTTTTCTTCATTTGTGCAGATTTTTCCTCCCTACTTTTTCCTTCCCTCCACTTCACTGTCTTCTTTAATTCTGTTATTTAGGGGTGGAGGGGTTGATTTTTCTTTTGTTTGTTCAATCTCCTATGCTTCTTTTTGTATATCCTCTTGCTTTGTTCAATTCTGGAGTTGGACTGTAGGTTGGGGGCAGTCCTTTTTGCAGTTTTGAGATTTACTAAAGGGGGGAGCTGTGGTTCAAAATCTATCTGCAGATCCTGTTATTTACTGACAGGTGTATGGATAATCTGAAACCCACGTCCCACTGCCTTGGAATCTGTCCATGCAGTTGGGTTGTAGGTTTACTCCCTGAAATAAAATGAGGTTAACAGGGGGAAAAGAATGGAGTGGGCAGTGAGGGGAAGAGGGGGGTGGAAAGAGAAAGGAGTAAGGGGGAAAACAGACGAGTGTACCAACAAATGGAGACACAAAAACTGAACAGATAAAGACAATAAACCACAGCTACAAACTAACCAACTCCCATACAAAAAAAAAAAACTAAAACATACAATGATGCTAACATACAAGCTAACCAACCTCCTTATTGGTATGCTATTCCTCTATACAAAGATGGGGTTTACAGAGAGAAAAACAAAACAAAACAAAAGGAACAGAATCAAGTCAGTAAACTAACAGGATATTACCATCTTATCAGGTATATGGTTTGCAGATATTTTTTCTTGTCCTGTACACCTTCTTCCTGTTCCCTTTACCATGCAGAAACCTTTTAGTTTGATGTCTCCAACTTGTTTATATTTACTTTTATTTCTGAGAATCAGTCATTTCTTTCTTTCTCCTCCTTCTCTGTGATTTCTTCTGAGATGAGATTATCTGGACAAGTCACACCATCTCTTGGCTTCTGGGTGTCTCAGTGTCCTCCCTACGGACTCCCCAAACCTTCATGTCACAGGGTGAAAAAGGAAGAAAAAAAAGACACATGGTTCTCTGCAAGATATTGCAGCACTCGTTTCCTGTTTGTTAATATCCCATTAGACCTAGTAATTCACACGTCCAAGCCCAGAATCAGTGTACCAGTACATCTTTGCTACAATGTTGGCTCCTCAATCCTAGGTACCACATAGTCATACCAAAAGTTTTGGTACTGCCAGTGCTTATCTCCACAACTGCTGTTGTTATGCTTTACCATCAGATGCAAAAGAATGTATTAGAGTGCAATTCCTTAAATCAGTGCCACCTACTAGTGTCTGTTTATTTGTCAGCTGTAGCCCTAGTACCAAAACTAGTGCTTGGCATTGTATAGGCACTAAATGGATATCTATTAAATGAATCAAATTACAAAAAAAATTGAGAGAGCAAAATTGGGGTCTAGTTTCCATACAGTAAAGAATGTTCTAATTTAAACCTGTGTCACATACTTATAACTAAATGCAAACATTGTTCCTATTTAGTTCATGAGTTAAAGAATATAAGAGATGTTTAGCAATCCACTATAAGCAACATATTTTTGTAGGTTTCCCTTTTGCATTGACAGTATTTTCTTAGTTTTATCATAATTATCTTAATGATAAGATTCTAATCATTTACATTTGGGCTGCATTCCACCAAATAACAGAATCTGATTTAGGAAATAATTTTCCAAAACCAAACAGTGAGGCTTCTTTTCTCTATTATAGTTACTTCAATGGTTTTTCTAACCCATTGATGGCATTAAGCACCAATGTAAGGAATGGAAATGTTAAAAATCCTCATATATCAGATTTTTTTAAATGAGCAAGCTGACTGGTAGAGTTGGAGAATTATAAAACACTAAAATAACTTCAAGACATGTGGTCCATGTGTCTGATTTCAACCTAGTACTCTATCCTATCCAGTCCAACAGAGGATGGGCCCAAGAAAAAAATGTGGGTTATGACCCCAGATGGATAATTGCCTTTTTATCCCTATTATTCTAAGATTTGGCACACATTGGATATTCAGGCACATTTTAAGGGTATACTAAGAATCAGCTTCAACACAGTACAATAGTCCTTCTAAATAAAAGAAAATTATTCTGAAGGGGCAAACTTTCTGGAATACAATACCTGTCAACAATAGGGTATCTCAATTGGATATCATCTAACATTATGAAGGTAAGTCTGACTCTTAGGTGAAGTCTTTGAATGTGATCATTCATAATTAGAGCTATCCCCGATTTTTCTTGGTACTGCATAGAATTCAAAGAATTTTCAGGTGCATTGTCTCAAACTCAGTTTATAATAGCCACCTAATATAAACTGGGTATACTGTGGACTTTCTGTGTTATAATCTTTTCTCTTGAGGTTCCTCAATAGCTAGCTGAGTACCAAGGATTCTCTACAATATTTTTTATTATGCTTTCAGAAATTTTGAAAGTAAATGTCTCAGATTATTCATCATTTCACAGCTATCTTAGATCCATCCTGAAACATAACTTAGAAAGACATTCAGTTATATTTTTCAGAAATTGTTTAATATTATTCTTGCATCAACACCAACTTTTCCTTGCCCATATTGATGGCACTCAGATTTAAAATTTTAATGATAAAGAAATTATTTCTAAAGTCCTGTTCTATATAGTCAAAAGACTAGTTATTATATATCTAAGGTACTTCAAAACTGAAAAGTGGTTTTACATATATTACTCACTGCACATATGTGTTGTAAGACATAAAATTGTAAATACATGGTGAATTGCATCATCTTCCTAGTCTTCTCATTGTCTCCCAACGTAAACCTGACCTTCCAAAAACCGTTGATGATCTCATTTCTGTTGCTACCTTATGTAAGGTAATACGCTATATTTTTAAGAAGATGGCTGAATTTTTTTAAAGCATATGATTATTCTGTTATAAAATATGAGATTCTAAATAGCTACTTGCCGCATGCTGGTATTTTTAAAGGGGTGTTAAAAATGTTAACATGTAACACATTCCTAGGTCAATGGTTGTAAATCCAGATTTCTGGGCCTATCCCTAAACCTACTAAATCAGAATTTCTGGAAGTGTGGTCAAGGAATATGAACTTTTTAGCCATATGAGAAGTTGATGTTCACCTCCAAAGGCTAAGAACTATTACCTTACAATAAACTTGATGTTTACAGGGTTCCCATTGCAACTTACAAGAAAGTTCTGTTCCTTTAGAAACTTCAAAAACTGCTTAAGATAATTAGCATACCATTTAGTGAGTAATTCAAGTTTAAGAAAAAAGAACAATAGTATTTAAATTATCATCAAAACATCCTTCTGTGCAGTGGCCTTTACTTGGTGCTTTAAAAACTGTAGAAATTGATATGGTTTCATAATAAATATTCAATCTGTAATGATGAACTCTGTCAATCTTAGAAAAGATAAATGTAGAGTTAATTAGAAAATAGATGTCGCTCTGAATGTGAGGGGAAAGCTGAAAAAAATGCATTTCTGTCTGCTTCATAAGGTACTATTCAAGAAATGTCATTGTTATAATTTGAAAAGTATTATTCAGAAAGAAGACAGATTTCAGTTCAGTAGTTTTGACTGTAAGAAGGCCAAGAAATAAAAGACGAGTGGAAGAAAGCTAAGTCACAGATAACTGAACTTATCACATCTCTTTAAAGTTAGCTAAAGAGTTATATCCAAATCCCAATTTGCTTCTTGACAAAAAGATAGGCCAGGGAATCTTCACAATACGGGAGAAATTTTGCTTGATATAAACTTAAATTAGGAGTTCTCCTATTCTATGATGCTGGGCTTTTATTGCTTCTTCGTGAATTATGTTCTGATATTTTTAGACTACTATAAATGTCAAAATAACATTGAGTTAGACGCAATGTCTTCATGTCTTTCATGTGTTTAAAACAGTCCATTCTCTAGAATAACAATCAGCTGACATCTATCACACCTAAAAAAAAAAAGATTTTCTTGCCATGATAACATTTGATAAAAATACAAAATCTCTGTGGCTTACAACAGTAAGTGTTTATTGTTCACATGTCTGGAGTTAACCTGCTAACCTTGTAGCCATGGGGGGGAAATGCAAGAACTCGTTTTTTTCTGATCTTGTCAGAGGATCAACTAACTGTTGATTGATATAGGCTGTCCTCAGCTTGGATGATTAGAGCACCCTCTCTTAGTTCTATGTGACTCTCGTCATCCGGAAGGTTAATCCAGGCATGTTCTTATAGTAATGGATAAGTTACAGAAGAAAATAAGTAGAACTATGTAAGGACTCTTGAGGCCCAAGCTCAGGACTGGTATAAAATCACCTTCACTATATACTATGGGCCAAAGCAAGTAAAAGACCGTACAAATAGAAGGGATGGAAAAATACCCTATGCCTCTTTAATAAGAGCAACTGCAAAGTCTCTTATTAAAAATAATGAATATAAGAGTTGAAGTTTTAAATGCAATTTATCATGGTATGAGATATTGTTTCTACTCTCTATAGCTACCATGCTAAGCAATACAGATAATAAGCTGCATAAGATCTGACAGTGATTTCAAACATGGATGGCTCATTAAAACACAAATTGCAGAACCCTCTCTTAGAGTTTCTGATTCAGGAATTTAGGGGTAGAACTCTAGAATTTGCATTTCAAGTGAATTCCCAGATGATGCTGATATGCTGCCCAGGGAGCACATTCTGAAAGCCACTGTTCTGTGGCTTTGGAAGTAATAGGAACTTATTGAGATACTAAAGCAACAGAGAAACACTGACATTTATAGGCAAGGCAATTTGAAATGAAGTGGAAAAATTTGAGTGAAATCATTTCCTAGATATCCAAACAGCTTGTATGAATAAGCAGGTTAATCAGGGGCCCTTGCTGCTGCCTTGGCACTATCCAATTTAACAGTCCCAGGTAGCCAGCAAACAACATAGGGGTTAGGAATGAATGACCCATCGATTGTTAAAAGCCATACATAAAATTCTACACTGGAAAACAAATTTTGATGGTATTATTTCATTTCATTGAGAAATGAAATAAAATAAGAGTTTGAAATATCCATCACACTTGAAGTCAGTGATGGCACTTAACTTCTAACATCAAATCAACCACGGGTTGGCAGACAGATAAGCATGAGATCTGAAATTCTGTGTGAGCTTTCTCTATTTAAGCCCTGATTTCTGCTAGGACGTGATAATAATAGTTAAGAGGTTATTTCTGAGGGGGAAGAAATCACAAAGAAACAATGTGTAAATGAAACCTTAATTTGGGGGAGAGCAGAAAAGTGCTGTTAAACTATTTTCGAGGGATTGGTGAACTACAACCAGTAAAGATAATGTGATAAAATGTAAAGTATTGAATATTCAGAATGTGTGAGGCTTAGCTTAGCCTGACACCACAGTTAAGCACTGAGTAAAAAGGAAGAGCTCATACGTTATTATTAGACAAGAGAAAAGCCGATTATATTTTACCAAAAAGAATGCTACTTCTAAAAGTATGCAGGCAATTATGAAAAACAAATCAGTATTTCCAGACCTCAAACCTTGAAGGTATCCCTAATCTTATACTAACCACATCACAAAAGAAAACATACAAAGAACATGAATTTATTCAATATCAACATTGTTAGTTTCCTAAATGCTCATTTAGAAATTGGAATTAATACAATAGAGAAGGGACTAAAAAACAGGAAGATGTGTTTTCAGGCATTCAAACCTTTCTTTATTGATACCCAGTCCTTAGATTAATCTTAAATGAAAATGAAAGTTTATTTAACTGAACTAAAGACTAAAAACATTGCTGAAATAAATATAAATCTGCTATACTAATACAAGTTTGAAAGGAATATTTTACAAATTTATTTAATGAAGTATAGTATGTGAACATAAATTTAATAACATAATTATTATTAAGTGGTACTCATCCAATCATAAATATTCATTTGCACACTTTAATTCAAACATAAACTAAAGTCTTAGAAGACAACGGTTTTGCCCTCAAATGAGTTCATACAATGATATCTCTCTCTTTAACATCCTTAATTCCCTAGACTGCACAAACACAAGGAAAATATGTTTCAATTCGACTGAAATGATAAGAAGGTTATTATAATTTCACACTGAGATTATTTTTTATCTTTTTACCTATTTGAGTGTTTTCCCTATGAAATTCCTCACTTTCACTTCCATCCACCTTTACATACAGTAAAAATGTTTCCTAAAACCCAGGATAATTAATATATTATTTTCTTTATAGTGATTATCACACAATTATGGTTCCTCATTTGTTTCTCATGTGAACCCAAAATAAAAGTTGCATGAGAGCATCTCTAAGGACACCAAGTGGTTTTTTAGTTTTCTGTGAAAACTTGTTTTAAATATAAGTGAGGGGAAACCATTGGAAGTTAGGAAGAGAAAATATGTTTGGAAAAGAGCCTACCACTTGAGAAATATATATACCATGTCCTTCTCATCTATCATAATAGAAAGATGAATTTAATCGAAGCTGGGGCTTGGAGTTAGAAGCAGAAATGCAAATGAAGGAAACAAAAGTAAATTCAGGAAAGTTTCTTAAATGTCTTTCCCAGTGATTTGACAATATGGGTCTTCAGATAAATACAGACTCTTACGTAAAGGATAAAGATAATGTTGTGTTTTTTTATTAGACTTTTCATAAAAGCTATTTTTCTTTCTAAGTTATTTTGACCTCAACAACAAAAATTTCAGAAAGTGGTGGAATTAAGCTCTAGGGTTAAGCTGCTGATGTCTAGACAACTTGAAAATGAATTCAAAGAGAAATCAGAGCTCTCAGATAGGCAAAAAAAAAAATTAACAAACTGGGTTCCATTAAAAAAAAGACTTAGAATCATACAACTGCATGCACTTTTACTTCAAAAGAAGATAATTACCTATTTTTATCATATAAATTTCATGGTACAGTATCTTAACTTAATGCATCCAGCACACCAGTGAGCCAAAATTCACCAAAACTTAACAGAAATCTAAATTAAGTGAGAATAATATTTTCTGAGTATTCATTTCAGAACCTATTTAAATCTAGCCGCAAATGTGCCATACTTCTGTGTATGAATTGATTAGATTCCATTGGAAACTAGTTGACCTCAAATTCTTCCCTAGATATTTGGTTGTAATACAAAATTATGCCATTGCTGAAAACATCTGAGTCCCTAGACTCAGGTTCTTGTCAATGGTAGACCACAGCAATTAGCATTATAAAATCTCTCTGTGGCCACTTAGACAAGAGTAGACCTTGAGCCCACAGTAGATTCAACCATGTTCTTCCAGTGGTGCCAGGCTGAACTGGCCATTGCCATTAACCTCCCCTTTATGTCAGAGGAAGTTTTACCCTAAGACCATTCGAAGAACACATTTTCATCTGAAATTAATTTCAGGTTGAACTTTCATTTCCCACTATTTATATGTAGCAGAAAAACAGGGCAGTGCATTATTTTTTTCAGGAATTGCTTTGAAGATCATTAGCAGGGCAGATCAATTGAATTTCCAATTAATCATAACTAGAATAATTGACAACACTCTTTCCCCAATAAGAATGGTAAAGGTTTATTGTGAGTTTACTATGCCCCTGGCACTGTGGTAAGAACTTTAATTCCATTGTTTCATTTAATCCTCTCAAGGGTCCCATGTCATAGGTGCTGTTCCTATCTCTGCTTGACAAAAGTCACTTAAAATCAGATAAATTATGTGCATTTCCCAGAGTCATTTCTAGTAAGCCAAGACTTGGGTAATTTTTTTCCCCCCAAAGACATGTCTTCTGGTTTTCTTAAAAGTATCTATGAAGGAGATAGAAATGAATAAATAAAAGAGGAGAGAGAGAGAATTGGTTAACGGTTAAGATGCCTCTCCCTCTTTCCATTCTCTTTGACAGTACTTGAGGAGAGAATCCTAATGCCAGATAATTAAAGTAAAAAGATTTTGAGAGCAAGAATATTTTCTTGGTCGCCAACATGCCCCTCAAAGTCCAGATTATCTGGTTGCCTATTTATTGTACTGAAAAAAAGTTAGGAAGTGTTTTAAAATTATAGAGACTCTCCTCTTTAGAGTTCATCTCTATACAGGAGAAAAATCATTTAAATGAATCATCCAAATGTATTCCAAAAATGACATGTTTATAAAATATTTAAGATTCCTTCTCTATATACATATGTATTATGTAATGAACTCTTATTCTTGCATTACCAGGAAATTTTATTTTAACTAAACTAAAAATAATTGACTATATAGTATTTTAAACTCTTGAATTCAGCTCCAAATTGGTAGTGCTAGATTAGTTTGTACCTGATGGAAATAAATTTTACCAAATAAACCATTTTCAATTAATGTTTGATAGGTGAAAACATGTTGTGCTGTTCATTTCTGAAATATTCACCTTCTTTTTTCTACAACCCCATGGTCAACGTAATGCTTTTCATCAGAATCATCTAACTTCTTAGTGCCTCAGCAGACTTTAAAACACCAGAGTATTCCCACTAATAAGCTATATGGCATATGCAATTGGGTTGGTTCGTATAAAATACTTTGCCTTTTCAATGAGAATGAAGACAACAACATTATTTATAATCTTTTCTTGCATAAGCACTTCTAAAATCAAAACCTACATACTCTAGCCTGAAATATACAAAGAACATTCCATTGGTCACCAGAACTTGTCAAGCTGTGCAATTTGCTCAATTGTTTTAAAATAAGGTTTGGAAATACTGTACTTTTACAGCATTTTTTATTCTTATTCTGAACTTTTAATAGATGTGTCGATATTACTTTTTTCTTTTAATGTATGCCAACTCACAGGTCTCACCTTTCAGTTTCACTGCAAATATCGTGAATACCATTGGACAAGATGGTTTATACTGCAATTTGAAAGGGAACCTTTCTCTCATAGTACTAATTTAGGATTCTATTGCTTCCACCCACTTTTAGTCCCAATTCTGGCATGGTGTATGCTTGCTTCTGTTAATGATTTCTCTCTGATTTCATTTGCCTCATTTACAAAATGGGACAAGTTAGAGCTCCTTGTTTTGTTTTAAATAGTTATTGCGAGAATTACAAAGCATTGTATCAATGAAAAAAAGCATTCGCATAATTCTGTATTAGTTTATTCCCCTTCTCTTCTCAGTCACCAGGCCAGCAAGCCACCCCCAATCTACACTCTCTCATATTATTTCTTCCCCTATCGGTCTTAATCTTACCATTTCTCTTTTGCTTCCCTTCCCCTTTTCCACCTTACCATTCTTTCTCAGTTTGGTTTTTGCTTCTCTTTTGGCCCCCAAGTAGCTTGTTTTAGTCTCTTTAAGATCATCAGAATGGTCAAACGGGTCTCTATGATCTGTTAGGTCTTCTTGACAATCGTGTACTCAATATTCTCTTGCATTATGCCCACTCATCGCCACCCCTCACCAACATAAGTGATTTGATTGGACATTTGAGAATTATAAGTTTATTGGGTAGCTCAAGTAAAAGGGAATTTGACCAAACCTAGTTGTGCCTATGGTACAATGTAATGTTCATGACAGTTTTTTTTAGAAGATTTTTTCTGGTGATAATTAAGAATGTACTATAATATTAAAATGTCTTTATTGTATTATATTAATTAGTAATGCATTTTATTTAAGTGTTTTTTAAACATTTCTTTTCTAAATTAAGCCCCCAGTGTGTGGGAAGCTGAAGAAAAACTATGGATTGTTTAAGTTGTATACAATATAGCAACCTATTTCAATGAACACACGGAAGAAAACAGTTCATGAGTGTTGTGAGGTGTATTTGGTGCTCTATTAATAGAACTCATGGAAGACCAAAGGATTTTTTTTTGTTGGTACCATATATGGAGACTTTATATATTTTAATTGAATAAATACATAAATACATATATTTCAATTGAATACATATGTTGGTATGCCTTTTATGTCTCTATAAAAACATTTACATTATGAAAGTTTTATCAGTATTTCTGATGTCATATATTAAACTATCCTGTATAAATTCTATGGAGAGAGCAGTTTACTAAGAAAATGTGTATGGCAGTTGGAGGTTGTACTTTTCTAGCAGTCTCCATACAAAACCAATCAGTGCCAAATTTTATGACTCGAATAGTTAAAAATTTTAAATGCAAAAGAATGGACAAATTTTTTTTATTTATAAAAGTGAAGTGCCTCTATTGAGTTAGAAGTAAGTAGCAAAAAATAATTAGTGAGTTAAAATGGTTTATTTATAAAATCTTGTCCTTGTGCCGGACCAGTTTTTTTATATTTTAAATATAAATAAAGACTGGGGGCAAGCATGATTATGTACATGATATACTATATATTATATTTGAAAAAAAATCCCAGTGTCTTGAGGTTTAAGTATTGCACTAAGGGTGTCACATGTGATGGTTCTGGTTGTTAGAGAGTCGTCTACAAAACCACAAAACCTATCCCATACAGTTCCACGCCTGTCTCATTTGTTATAGTTTCAGCACTCTCTTGGTAATCTCAGAAAAGCACTGTCATGTTTTCCTCAGAGCCTCAGAGTAGAGATGGGAGAAGGACTCCTCTGGATGTTCCAGGCCCTATACTAACATATTCCTGGGCTACTAAAAAGGAGAATGCCCTCCCATGCCTGATGAAATGCTTGACTAGTTACTGTAGGTGTGTGATCATGAGGCAGGGTATTAGATGAGAACAGAGATTGGAACACCTCAATGGAGACACTCCTTTAAATGGGGAACCTGTTTCTTTCCTATCCTAGTAGAAGGCAGTCTTCCCTCAGGGGCAGGCACACAGTCTACAAATGCCAACTCTGCCTTCTGCAATATGAGGGGACCCCTTGTCTGGGGCCCCACTAATGTTTCTCTCAAAACATGTCCTCACCCTCCTCCCACTTGAATCTCAACCTTCTTTCTGAGGATAAAGTAGCCTAACTCTTCATGTTTACTCATCCATGACGCGAAAATAAATTTATTTTGGTACTTGCTTTTGTTACCTGATGCCAAGCGTCCAGATCTAAAACAAAACAAAGCATGCCAAATACAAAATCTTCTCTTTATCTTTCTCCAAAAACTCAGGTCTTAAGAATCAAGAGTCTGTCCCTTTAAATCCCCACATCTGTTAATGGGTTTTTAAAGTCGGTTTTAGAAACTCAATTGATTCTTTTGTTGTTTCTGAGATCTTTATGCCCTACCTTCCTTGGGGAAAAATAATTAATTTCCTCCCTAAACTCACTGGACTCAAAGGGAAGGGAAAAAGAGTGGAAGAGACGTGGAGAAAGAAATTAATATTGGTTAATGACTCCAAAGGTCATCCCACCACACAAAAGTATCTATTCAAATGACCGTCTAAGTTGGCCTGAGCTGATTTAACTAGTGGAAAAGATGTGATTCAGTAAAAGTCATCTGTAAATTAACCAATAGTCAAGCATGACAAGGCACAAAGACAATAAATGATATTTGTCACCTTTGTACCTGGTGAATAGTGGAGTTCATCAAAATATCACTCTAAACTATAACCAGATGATTGCTGACAACAAGAAAACAATAGTGGAATCACAACAGTATTCAAGAACTAGAGAAAAGATAATGATGCAATTCAATAACTAGCAATTTGTTTTATCCAGAATCGCCTTCCAAATGTTTACCAATGCTGCTGAAGAGATATTGCCACAAAAGGGGAAAAGCACAATAAGCAAAACAAAAAATAAGCAAGGAAAGTACAAAAATCATAAGAGGTTATTTTGCTAAGTTATGCATAAATAAATTCAAAATTTGGAATGAAGTAGGCAAATTTTCCAAGGTAAAATAATTTGCCAAACTAAGACAAAGAGAATATGTAATATATTGGATTTCTATGGAAGAATTAGAATTTTTTTATCAAATGGCTATTTCCTCGTGAAGCATAATTGAAGATATTTCCACAGGGTAAGTTAATCTGGGTCCACCAAGAAGTACATGTTAACACAGGGTTTGAAGTGTATAGAATCTGCTGGAGAACCATCTGCGAAGGCTAAAGTGTGATGAAGCAGAAGGCAGGGAGAGTTTTGGCAGGTCTGACCCCTCCGAAAGTCAAGAGAGAAGAAATGAGAATTAAATAAATAGGAATGAATCCCAGACCAGAGTGCAGTTCTCAGAGTGTCTCGGCCAGGTCAACTGGGAAATCAAGCAGAGGTTGTCTGTTACAGGAGTATCACATCTGTCAGAAATGGCCAGTTTCTAGCATAACTCTCACCTACTGGAAAGCACCTTTTCAAAACTTATCTTCAAGGTTGTCTGCATCATCACTTTTTCTCTCAGTACTATGTCGTTCTGATCAGTATATAAGCAAACTGTATTATCTCTCATCTTATAAAAACATTTCCCTGCCCCATCCTCGAGTAGTAGCTACTGTTCCATTTCTGTGATCTTTGGCGGCAGAATGTCACCCAAAAAAAAAATTCCTTGCTAATTTGACTTACCTCTTCTCCAATTTTCTCTTAAAACCAAATTCATTCAATCTTACTCCTCCACCGCTCCATCAAAAACACATCTTTCAAGTTCGCCAGCAACCTCCATATCTCTAAAACCCATGGTCAATTGTCAGTCCTTATCTGACCTATCTGCTGAGGTATCTTCCTCCTTTTTTCTCCTTCTTCCTTGTGTCCTCCTCCTCCTGCTCTTTCTTCTCTCTCTTCTCTCCCTCCTTCTCCTCCTCCTCTTCTTCTTTTTGTTCTTTTCAATTTTCAGAATAATTACATAATACTTAAGCAATCTCCAGAGATCTTTAGTTTTTTTTTTCTAAGAACCATTAATGAACTTACGAATTTTAGCATATTTTGATATACTTTAATGCATTATAGACTTTTTTTCTTTTAATTCCTAAGTCATTCTTTCCTTATCAGTGGAAGACATTTCAAGTCAACCCCAGGGTCATTTTGCTGTCTCTTTCCTTTGCTTGTAGGCGCAAGATATCTCAAGTTTATCTTGCAAATTATCCTTCCCAGATGTGGAGCTGATTTTCTCTAAGCAGCCCTACCTAATTTTTTTCAGAAAAAAAATAAAATTCAGAGAAAATAATCTGGATGAGAGGGATGATAATTGCTACTAAGTTGTTACTGACTCTATTTTTTTTTAACTTGGTAGAGCTAGGAAAACACCAGATTTTAGAAAAAGAAAAATAAATATTGATTTTATGCTGTAATTTTTATTCAAATTATACACAATTTCTCTTAGGTCATAATCTTGATTCTTAACATTATCACGGTTATTTATTTGCTTGATTCTAATCTATCTGTCCATCTATTTATCTATATTAGGCTGAACCATTTTAAGTTAACTTTTTTGGTTGGTTGTTTTTTGTCGGAGTCTCACTGGTGCCCAGGTTGGAGCACAGTGGCACTCTCATGGCCACCGCAGCCTCAACCTGCTAGGCTCTGGTGATCCTTCCACCTCAGTCTTCCAAGTAGCTGGAATTACAGGCATGTACCACCACGTCCGGCTAATTTTTTGATTTATTGTAGAAATGAGGTCTCACCAAGTTGCTCAGGATGGTCTCGAACTTGTGGGCTCAGGCAATCCTCTCACCTCAGCCTCCCAAAGTGCTGGGATTATAAGCATGAGCCACTGCACCCAGTCTAAGTTAACTTTTAATGAATCAAATAGTTACAAGCATATTAGCAATTTTATGTGTTCCAACCATATATGTGTGTGTGTATGTATCTGAGTGTATAATTTCAAAATAAGAATACCAGTTTCATTTCATTATAAGTCTACTGATAGAAATTTAAGACAACTTTGACGTTCTTTTTTGTCTTTGGAATAAATCCCACTAGGGATGTTCATTCAAAATACTGTATTTCAAAGTTACTTGAAATAATTCCTCTTTCTGTGATTTTGTCACCAACTTGATACACAGATCATTTGTTTCCATTTCTTTTTTATTTTTATAATCTTTTTTTTACTTTTTGATTTAATAGTCTTTTAAAATGTACATTTTTCCTAAGACGAGATGATAAAAGCTTATACATTTGGGTAGGCTTAGTTCCTATTCCTGTCTCCTCACTCATTTTATCATTATCTGTTTTAAAGTCATCAATTGTTTATTAAATAATTGTTTATTTTTTAAAATATAAGTAAATATGTACTTTACTCAGTATCTTATAAAACAGTTATATGATGAAAATTTTCATCTGACCTTCCTTCCCTTCCTCCCTCCCTCCCTTCCTTCTTTCCTTCTTCCTACTCTTTCTTTCATACGAGTCCAATAAGTCACTCCATAGGTATGCATAGTTCTCAAACTTATTTTCCCCTCTCACACTCCATCTTCCCACCATGCTACAGAGCACTCCGTTGATTAGGTGTAGCATGTTTATTCAAAACAGTGCACTTTTGATGGACTTTTGGGTAGATTTAACCTTTCTCTCTTACAAAGAGTATTGCAATAAATATAACCTTATGCTATGATGACTAATCCTCTCAGTTTGCCTGAGACTGAAGAGTTGCCCAAGATGTGGGATTTTCAGTGCAAATACCAGAAAAGTTCTGAGTACACCACCAGGACAAGTTGGCCCTTCTACTATGTGCACACATCTTCTTGGAGGATTTGGTATCGTGTAAAGTTTTTCTTTTACTCAAATTCATGGTAGACCTTTTAGTTTGTTCACATACTGAATTTTGTTCTTCAAATGTGATTTAAGTTTTTGTTGTTCATATTGGTCAGCATTTTTTGTTCAGGTTTGCTCCTAGGTCATTTTTCACTTTTTTAGATTAAAAAATATAGTTTATTTAGAAAGTAAATTAGAGAAAGAGAGGATTCACCTCCCCAAGGCAGGGGAGGGGTCCAAAGCTTAGGAAAACATGGTAGTGGCCATAGCTCAAAGAACACAGCTTAGCAAGGCAATGGCCCATATTTCATTTTTTTCCAGGTTCATAATTTATTGTACAAGTTGAATCATCATGTGATGAGTTGACATCAGCTTCTCTAAGCATGGGAGCTTAACTTAGTATCTATTTATGTTGCTTTCACAGCTGGAGTTTTTTTAGATCTTAACTTGGAGTATAATACCATCAAAGCAATGCCTCCATATGTGGCCAATACACAGTTCATTCTACCCGTGAGAGTGTAGGAGTTGAAATATTTTTTAATGCCAGTGAACTGGAATTGGGTATCAGCTTCAGGACCTGCCATGATTTCAGTCTGGCCACGGTTGACGAAGCCCGCTCACCCTATGGGAACACACCCCCTCCCACGCTCGGCCAGCAGCCATGGTGGTTCAGCCTCTCGTGCCAATTGGCTCCCTTTTTTCATTTTTGATGTTACTATAAATTAAATAATTTCTATCTTTACATTTTTAATTGATTGCTGTCTTCATACATTCTATAGAAGCTGTCGATTTCTGTGTATCAAATTTTACTTTCCACCTCCAAGTGCTGAGCAAGCATCACGACATATTTCTTTTTTTAAACTGCTTTCCCTCGGGGCATCCTTGTAATCTCTTACAGAACCTCTTTTGTCTGGCCTTCCAATGAGCAAAGTAAAAGAGAGTAGGTTCTCACCTCTTAATTGCTTCAGGTTACAAATGACAGATGTCTCTTCTGCTCAAATTCTATTGCTTACAATTCAGCTGGTGTTCATGCCTACATAAAAGGATACTGGGAAATATAGCCTTCACTTGTGCCTAATAATGAGGCAACAGTGAGTCTCTACCTCGATACTAGTATACAGTAGTTGCTCAAGAAAGATGTGTTCATATGTAATGGATATGTTTTTAACATGAAAACATTTACCCATCTCAACCCATTATACTAAGCAATGAAGAGACAGTAAAGGCATTCACACTAAATGTCAGATCAAGGTAAAGATGATCACTCTCACCTTTTGTGTTTAACATTCTATGGGAGATATTCACCAATGCAGTTCAACAAGAGAGAAAAGGTTTAGGCAAAATTATTACCACTTACAGATGATACAATGTTATATCTGGAAGCTCCAAAAGAAATCATTTTAAAACTAGTGAAAATGATAAGAGAACTCAGAAATATTTTTGTGGAGTTGTAGGGACAAGACAAATTTAATATAATAAAAAAATTAAATCTTTTAAAAATTCTGAAAAACAACAAGAACAATGTAGGGAAACTAGCCCTATGAGATATATACCAACAAGGCTCAGTAACTCAATTATGTAATACCATATGCAATACTACCATAGAACTAGAAAGACTGGAACAGGAATTTTAGAGATAGATACTTATATATACAGAACATTAGGTATGAAAGAGGTGGCATTATAAACCAGTGATGAGAAAAATAAAATATGCAAAGAATGGTGCTGGGAAAACTAGATAGCAATCTGGGGAAAAACAAAAAGTTGCATACACAGTTTGTAACTCATATAAGGTTTAATTGCAAACAGATAAAAATTTAAATATGCAAAATATGGGAGCATAAAAGCATCAGAAGGAAACATAGGATAATTCTTCATTGAATAATATATATGGAAAGATTTTTTAAGTAAAAGACAATATGCAGAAATGGTGGATATATTCTATGCCATCAAAATCAAAACTTCTGCCTCACAAAAACCAAATCAATTGATTAAGAGGTGAAAAAACATTTGCATCTTATATCACATCTTATATCACAAAGAATATTAGTTTGCCAGGGCTGCTATAACAAAATAACATAGACTCCACAGGTTAAACAACATAAATTTATCTTTTGCAATTCCAGAGGCTAGAAATTCAAGAATAAGGTATCCACAGGTTTGGTTTCTTTTGAGTTCTCGCTCCTTGGCTTGAAGATGGCCACCTTTTTGTTATTTCCTTACAGATACAACCCTGTGTGCTATCTTTGTTCTAATCTTGTTTTTTCTTATAAGAATATCAGTCATATTGGATTGAGGCCCACCTATATGATCCTATTTCACCTTGATTAACTTTCTAAAGCCCATCTCCAAATACAGTCACTTTCTGAGATCCTAGGGTTTAGTACCTCACCATATAAATTGTGGGGGGACACAATTCAGCCAATAGCACAAAGAACACATTAATCTCACCAATATATAAAGAATTCTTGCAGGAATTCACAGAGTATGCTCTTTTCCCTCCCCTTATGTGGTCTACAGTAATCACTGCCAGACTATCACACTCAGGCCAAATCTACCAGGAAACTGGTTTTGTAAATTGCATTTTATTGAAACACAATCAGACTCATTTATTCATGTACTGTCTAGAGTGAAACAGGCTATATGGCCCATGATGGCTAAAATATTTACTAGATAGTCCTTTACAGAAAATGTTTGCCAACCTGTGGACTAGGACTCAATCAAACTAGAGATTAAGGGAATTTGTAGGTCAACATGAAAACAAAAACTGAAGTGGGTGGCTAGTTTGTATTACAGATAAGGTGATCATACATTCAATCTGCTTGGAACAATGCCAGCTTACATTTATTATTTCATTACACTTACTAATAGAATATACTCTCCAAAGTACCATTCATACGGTGACCAAATGGTTACTGTTCTGGGTTGAATTTTGTACTCTTCAAAAGATCTGTTGTGATTCTTATCCTCAGTACATGTGAATGTGACCTTATTTGTATGTAGGGTCTTTGCAGATATAATCAAGATAAGATGAGGTCATTAGTTTGGACCTTAATCCAACATGACTGGTCTCCTTATAAGAAGAGGGATATCCGGACATGAGCACACACAGAGAAGAGAATACTGTGTGAAGACACAGAGACACACAAAGAAGGAAGATGGCTAAGTGATTATAGAAGTAGAGATTGGAGTGGTATATCTACAAAACAGGAGCACCAAGGATTGCTACAAACACCAGAAACTAGAAGAGGCGAGGAAGGATTATTTCCTACAGGTTTCTGAGGGAGAATGTCCCGGCTGATACCTTGATTTTGAACCATTAGCCTCCAGAACTGTACAATAACAAATTTCTGTTGTTTTAAACCAACGAATTTGTAGTTTAGCAATGTTCCACATATCAATGTTCAACCACAGACTGCATGTATGATAGTGGTTTTATAGGATTATAATGGAGCATATATAGAAACCTGATATAGGGCAATGAATATTGGCATTGCAGATCAAGTAGAGGAAATGATAGTCAGTAATGGTGCTAGGACATTTAGTTTTCCATATGAAAATATATAAATAGTGACCCACATCTTTAAAATAAAAAAGAAAAATGTATAGAAATAAAATTATATATACCATCTAGGTTTGTGCAACTTTGTTCTCTGATGTAAGCACAACAAGGAGGTCAACTAATGATGCATTTTTCAGAACATATTTCTCCATAAAGCGATGCATGCCTGTACTTAGTAACAGCAGCCCTGAAAAATTAATACAGTCACCCCCCCACCATCAATGAGGACCTTGAATCTGAGGAAAAGAAGTTAACATTCAAGGATCATTATCAGTTAGAGTATTCTGGTTTAAAACGGGGAGAAGCTAGATGTATGCACACCAGTTCAGAGCATATAAAAATGAGACATCAGAATTCATTGGAACATTGTTACAAACGGACTCAAAACAATGTAGTGTATTTTTGAAAATTGTTGAGTCTTTTTGCCAGAGATGGGCATCCTCCATATACCACCAGACCTTTAAAATAAATTATTTCATCTTACTTTTATTTAGATTCTTACTATTATGTGTGTGTGTGTGTGTGTGTGTGTGTGTGTGTGTGTGTGTGTGTGTGTGTGTTTGTTTTGGTGAAGTTTCTTTCAACATATACATATATGAAATCCAAAGTCTGTTAAAGATGAAAAGGTTATGTCTGTTCTTCCTCCTCTGTATCCTCACTTCCAAGTGGTAAATTACAATTAGAGTAAAGTTTCTGAAGTAATTCAGAACATACTGTGCTAAAACATGCTGTTCTGGTATATTGATTATTTTGAGCTGAAGATACTCGAGAAACAGCAGATGCAGGGAGAGCTCTCTGACCTCCCCCTTTCTACTTGAAAACAGATCATAAAATTTCCCATGAGAAAGGTACCCTACCTATACCAGGAAGAGAACAGTCATCACCAGAGACCGTGAGTCGTAGCTGAAACAAACCTACTAAAAATCTCTTATCTTCCATTAGTTTCCTCCATATGTTACCTAGTCACTTATTAACACCAAACACCTTTTTAGTCTTGTCACTTCTCCACAAATTTATTATTTCTTTGTTTAAAAGTATATGTCTTTGTCCTAGCTGCTTTTTTGTTTCTTCATTTTTCCTGTGAAAACTCTTGTGTGCATGTAAAAATATTACATACAATTTGTATACTTTTCTTCTGTTAATTTGTCTTGTGTCAGTTTAATTCTCAGACCCAGCTACAGAAGTTAAGAGGGTAGAGAGAAGTTTTCCTTCCCGACATTTCAAATCAAATTTTGCCAAACATGAGAACACTTAGTAGCAAACAGATAATGTCTGTTCTTGTAAATTCATGAAATTCTAGCTTTTTAGTCTCTTTGACAAGAAACCTGCATGAAAAATTCACTTGATACACACGAACTACATTTTAGTGTCCAAGTTCAGCTAGCCTGGGGAATGAGAAGAGTCTTAGCAGAAGGTGGCCACTCAGAGGCTCTTACTGGCTTATGTAAGGCAGAGATACCTGTTCATTCTTTCTCACCAGTGTCTATATATTGAAATAGCATTTATTTCACCAGTGAAAAATAATTTTCAATAGCTAATATGTAAATTATTATACTTTCTTGTGTTGTTCTGCTATGAGACAAGGAAGACAAAACAGGCAAGTGTACTCTAATTAGACCATTCAAGTGCTAATTAACCACATCCAATGTGTGAATGCCTAATTAGGGCATTACAAAGGTAACCAATAATGTAAGATTAAATATGGCTTCAAGGTATTAAGATATAAAATGGTGGCTTTTTCTAGTTGACTCCAGTTCTCTGAAAACAGAGCAGAGGATTGGGCTTAAGCTAAAATCTGATTGATTTAGTCAACTCACATAGGTGTTTGATAGGCTCTGAACTTTGCTACCATTAAAGTAACCATCTGTTTGTGTGTGTGTGTGTGTGTGTGTGTGTGTGTGTGTGTGTTCAGGAGTCTACCTGGACATGGGGCCTCAATGTCTTGCAGAGTGTCCTTCCAATTTTATTGATGACGTACATGCAGTAATCATTTACGAATATTTAAACATTTTTGTTGACTATTTTTGTTCTATG